ACTGCATTTAAAGAGCTTCATGCATTCTTCTTTTGCATTCTTCTAAAATCAAGAAGAGTAGATCTTAGCTGTCCTGCATCTAAACCAGACAGCCACACTTGCTGATCAAAAAGGCAGTCACCCAGCACCCTCACAGATTTCCTCCCTGGCACTGAGGACTGTAGAACACGAGTTAGGATGATTGGTACTGGATTAGTATGATCATATATCCTGCACAACTGTGGAGGTATTTTTATTTCCAGATCGTTCCTGGCTACTGCATGTCTTTTCCTTGCCATTTCTGTCTAACGAAAACAATACCTTCTTTAGGCTGCATTGCAGAAAGCAAGATTCTTCCAACACCAAGAAGAAATATCAGTTTGCTGCAATGGACTGTGCTTGTGACCAACCCTTGAAGATTACACAGGACCTGCTGCAACTAGCAGAGGCAGCAAGGAGGATCAGTGATCAGCCACCAGAAGACTACTCATTAAATCAACATTCTGGAGGCTGCACTGGTTCCGTATCTACCTCCAAATGCAAGTCAGATGGCTGATGTTGACTGACTAAGCCTGTTTTAATCTGACTTCTGCCAGAGCATAGCCTACCTGCCTGGTGGTATCAGCATCTCTGTCAAAGAGGAATTTTTAATCTCCACAGACAGGCCGCAACCTTAGCCTGTAGATGTTTCATGCATCACACATGGCCCATGCATTCAACTCAGCTTATTTGGGTATAATCTTGGGGTACTGCAAAGAGACAGCACCTTTATATTTATAGCTGTTTATATTTGGTCAGGCGACACTGCAGTGTTTCCTAGGATTGTGTAAGCAGAAGTTACCTAACACGTCATTTGACTGAAACAGAAAGCGCAACATTATCTGGAGATGTATTGTAGTCGTGCTGCTTGAAATCATCTGGTTTTCAAAAGAAAAAAAAAAAAACTCCATAAAATAAACAGGAGGGAAAAAAGGTAATTTTATTACCTATTTGAAGTTTTAGCTTGTTCATTTAAAGCAGGAGTGTAGATAGGATACTACTCAATGGTTTCCAGCAGGCTCAAGGAAGATCTAACCCGCTGAAATATTTGCTGACTGCTTCCCAGATGAAGATCAGGACAAGTACTCCTTCCTCAGCTGGTAGCTGTTGCTGATACTAAGAATCGTATCCATCTCTTTGGAAAGATACATCTTCCCCCAATGATTTTTCTACCTTTGCAATTGCTACATCAGTGCACCTCACAAAGTATGTTTCTTCTTTCTCCCTTCAGGCTCCTGTGAGCATCTCCAGTGCTTTGCTCTTTCTCTTCTCCCTCTTACCTCTTAGAATCTTATCTTCAAAAATTATTCAACTAATAACTCATTGTGGATGTGGATGTGCTTATCCTCTCCAGATCATTGCTCTGCTGTCCAAATGACTGCTTTTGCCTGTCTCTCTGACACTTCTTTATGGGCACTGACCCTTCAGTTCAAAATCAATATGGCAAGAATTAAAGTCTTAATAATTTTTCCGAGTGTTCACTCCATATTATTTACTTAGTAGCGGTGAATTGCACCACCATCTTTCCTGTCCTTCAGGTTCACAATTTAGATATCATTTTCATCTGTGGGCACACTCTTTTGAGCTAGATTTTAATCTCGTGAACTTTTTTCCCTGAACAATATCCAAAACTTTCCCCATTCATCCACAAAGATTGAGCTCATCCCAATTCCCAGCATCTCATGTCTCAGTCACTGCAGTGTACCACTACCTATTTTTCTCTCTGCTCCGTCATGTACCACTGCACTAAGCCTATCCATGCAAAACATGCTGCAAAGATCCCTTTCTCTGCCCAGTATTTTAACCTTGAAGTCTTCTCTCAGAATTTTTCTGCCTGCTCCCTTCTGTTCCCTTTCTTTCTTTATTAACTCCACCAATATAAGCTGTGCCTGTTCTTTCAGCAGGTCACTCACAGACATTCCCAGCCACACTGAAAATGCTGACTTTCAGCTTTAGCAATCACCGACAACATTCCTTTTCATTTGCCGACACGATTCAAATAAGCACCTTTGTGCTGCTCCCTAGTTTGTCCCATATGCTAGAAGAGGGGGGAAAACATCCCCACAGTTATTCTTGCCTGGCTTTGCATCACTCTAAAGTTCTCTGCTTTGATGTAGTGCCCAAAAAACGGTGTCAAAGTGTGGTGCCAACACTACTGCCTTGCACACAGGCTCTCCTAGTTCCTTTGTACTCCCTTTTCTGCTTGTATTCACCCGTTGCTTCTTGCCTGACACTGTACCGCAGGCTCTTTGGGGTGCTCATGACTAGGGCTCCTACGCCCTAAGATAAAACACCACAATTACTACTGGTGCTTACTGTAAAACTCACAAAGGCTGTGGTTCTCCTCCCCCTCCAAACCTTCCAAACTCTACTCTCTAAAACAAAGGTGAGATAAATATGTTCATTTACTCAGAAGTTGTGGTAATCTAGCACTCATTATCAATCATGGGATAAAATCAGAGGAGGCAGAAATTATGCATTCACATCCTTTATGTGAGCAAAACAATTATTTTCTGTATGAACTAAAGAAGTAAAAACTTAAAGATGGAAAATACTTATGAAAAGCCCTGTACGTGTGCTACCTTTACTGGTACATCTGAACACAGGATCACACATGGTATGTGGATGGGCAAAGAACGCAAGGCAGTTGATTTGGGTAAGGTTCCCATGAATCACAGAATCACAGAATCACAGAATTGTAGGGGTTGGAAGGGACCTCCAGAGATCATCGAGTCCAACCCCCCTGCCAAAGCAGGTTCCCTACAGCAGGTCGCACAGGTCGGCATCCAGGCAGGTCTTGAACATCTCCAGAGAAGGAGACTCCACCACCTCCCTGGGCAGCCTGTTCCAGTGCTCCGTCACCTCACTGTAAAGAAGTTCCTTCACACATTTGTGCGGAACTTCCTGTGCTGCAGTTCCTGGCCGTTTCCCCTTGTCCTGTCTCCACTCACCACTGAAAACAGTCTGGCCTCGCCATTCTGCCCCCCACACCTTAGATATTTATAGACCTGGATCAGGTCCCCTCTCAGTCTCCTTTTCTCAAGGCTGAACAGACCCAGTTCACTCAGCCTTTCCTCATAGGAGAGATGCTCCAGGCCCTTCACCATCTTCGTGGCCCTCCGCTGGACTCTTTCCAAGAGATCCCTGTCTTTTTTGTACTGGGGTGCCCAGAACTGGACACAGTACTCCAGATGAGGTCTTACCAGGGCAGAGTAGAGGGGGAGGATCACCTCCTTCAACCTGCTGGCCACGCTCTTTTTAATGCACCCCAGTAAGCCATTGGCCTTTTTGGCCACAAGGGCACACTGCTGGCTCATGGCCAACCTGTCATCCACCAGGACACCCAGGTCCCTTTCCGCAGGGCTCCCCTCCAGCAGCTCATCCCCCAACCTGTACTGGTGCATGCAATTATTCCTCCCCAGATGCAAGACTCTACACTTGCTTTTGTTAAACCTCATCCAGTTTTTTTCTGCCCAGCTCTCCAGTCTATCCAGGTCTTGCTGAATGGCAACACAGCCTTCAGGCGTGTCAGCCAATCCTCCCAAATTCCCATGCCGACTTAACTACTGTTGCAGTAATTTGTTTTTCTACTTTATTGTTCCATCTCCTCCTGCCTGTTTGATGTCACAAAAATCCAGTATCTGCGGCAGTTTGCACAATGCATGTTATAGCCTTGCATCTACATACCACGAATTCAACATTCTGGATTCATTCATGACTCAGATTGGAGGGAGAAAATAGTTTGGGATGATACAAGCCCTTGATTAAAGCTTTTGGGCCAAATCAGCAACAGCTGAGGATCCAGCCCATATGGCCCGAGATCTTTAGCAGTGTAAAGGCTGCAGGAATGGGCCCAAATAGCTTTAGTAATTAGCAAATATCGTATAAAATAGATGAAAAGTCTTTGGCAGAGAGTGCATATTGGGTAACATCTGAAAATTACTCAGAGCATATTAGTATACTTCTTTAGAGAAAAAAACTCAATGGTATCAAAATAACCTGGGAGGGGCCGGTGTATCTGTCATGTCGCTATCAGCAGGCAAGCCTTTGTTGGACCCACCAATATTTTACCATTACCAACCAGCTAGTGTGTGGCACCAAGTCCTGTGCACAGCTTTGCCTCTAGAGAAACGTCCTCACAGCCAGTGGGACACTGCCACAAAGCTGCTCCCTGCATGCCAGCATCTCTAGTGGGTGCCGCAGGTCACCTTGCCCACCCCTGAGTACTCAGACACCCAGGAACATCTGCAGAAGAAGGACGCAGCCCACTGCTACCTAACTTCAGCAATTACTGTGCCGTGTACAGCGGCAGACAACAACGTGGCAATTAATCACCCTAGTGGAGCTCTACAAGTTACTTTCACGGATTATGGTAAGCAGCATGCTGAGGAGAATAAATCATCTCTCACACAAACTCTGAGGAATGGCGTGTTATGAAATCACTCCCAATAAAAGTCTAATGAAAATGTAAAACATTTTGGTGCAGTCTCCTGGGCAGAGTTAAGATCATAATAAACCCTCAAGAGACGATGGTCAGGGACTTCAGTGGGAACCAAGAGACAGTTTTCCCAGGATAAGCTTGTTAACCTGATATAAAGAAAGACACAGTACTGATTTGACGACTTCGTCTCTTTCACCGTTTCCCTCTGGAGCCTATTTTTTATTTAATCATCTTTCATTAATTTACTTAAAGGCATTAGTCATCAAAACAATATCATTTTTTTTTTTAAACAGATGTTGCTCAAGTGCTGAGGAACTACAATCCGGCATGCAGGCTGTCACAAGCAGCAGGAGAGACTGTCTGTTGGCACTGCAGTTGCAATTGTTTTTCAAGAATACTATCAAAGCACATCGTCCCCCAGTCCTTCTTGAAGTTCACAGCAACTGGTTACTAGAGCACTCTTACAAATAAGCCATAACCTAGCAATCTCAGGACCCGTGTCAATGACAACCAACGTTTTTAGATGTTCAGGAGGATTTACCTGCTGGTGGCTTTATGAAAGGTGGCGGGATTAATGGGACAATAATAGGTACATTCCCGTGATCCTTTGACCCTGCTGGTGAGTCTGAAAGTCCATTTCCCGTGGCAAGCCCTGGGTAGCTTGTGTTTATATTGTATGGTGAAATAACACTGTCCTCAGGTAATTTTGGTTTTGGCAAAGAATTTTCTGTAAAACACAAAAAACACATTGTACAGTATGACAAATATATTTCTTAGATGCCCCTACATACATTCATCAACCTGTTCACTAAATTACCCTAGTACAAGAAGACCACACGAAAGAAAAACTTAAAAAAAAACAACTGATACTTTCCCCTTAAGCAAAGGGATACTTTTCAGTATTTCTCTGAAACAATCCTTTTCTAAATCTTTAAAAATCAAGCATTAAACACAGCTATGTATTTTTTTTAAGAGGTGAAATTATTTTGTCATATCTAACTCAGCACTTACCATGTTGTCACTTCTCCAAAGCAAGCAGCATAGATTGAAAAATAAAAGAATTCCTATTTCTCTCTCTATAATATGATGAGTAGCAGCAGTGGAAAGGTTTTAAAGAAAGGAATATTGAATTTAAAATAAAGTGTGCATAAAATGATGACAGTTATGGTTCTAATTCTTTAATCCCAAAGCACCTTCGGATTCGTACTTGTAGGAATTCCTCTAATGGGCCTCAGGTATCTATGGAGTAGGACTTAATTCTTATCACTGTCTCTCGTCCCATCCCTCAGAGAAAGAAACATGCTTTTTTTTCCTCTCTAACAGACTGCATACATCGAAAATCTCTACCTGGCACAGCTATTCGACATCTTTGTTTGGTACATAAAACATATGATTTGTATCATATGCCTATAAAGAAAAGTATGTCACAGATTTCATTAGGCATAGACTGGAGCCACAAATAATTCAATAAAAGATCTATTGATTAAAGCATAAACAAATGAATCCTCTCTGTAGGAACAAGTTTCTTCAAGGGTGTCTTAACAACAGTGTATTTTCAATGAAATAGAAATATTGATCACCAGTGTAACTGTACAACTAACAAGACGTGAATTTTCACTTTTAACATAGTTAGACTGGTTTGCCATACCTCTAATTTCCACCTTTGTTTTTGCCTTCAGAGTTGGTCTCTCTAGTCTCAGCACTAATTGCTGCACTCACTGCTACTTGTCACCAGAACGCAAGCCCATACACTGCCAGCCACGAACACAGTGACAACTGGAGCTCCAAAAGCATAACAGCTTCTGCCATTTCTTCTCTTCACCCCATCTGTGAGAAAATCCTATTGAGAAAGCCAAGATCCAGCAACATCCTGCTCTCCTTTTCCCACTGACCACAACTCCCTACGCACCGGCTGGGGCTGAGGCATCAGAAGGCAGCAGCTGAACTGCTCAACAGAAAGTCGAGTCCCATAATTTGCACGCTGAGTAATTCCGTGTTGCGTTGCGTCAACATCCAGCAGTGTCCCAAACTGAGAACTTCTAAGCACTTGCAGAACACAGCCTATTACAAACACGGCTAAGGAGCCTGTTACGAGTGTTGATGATGATTCTTGCATGCATTCTGAATATCCCTGCTCAATGCCTACAGGCATTTTAAAAAGCCTTGGGCCAAAGCCTTTGTTTTGAAAGCAAAAGGGCTTCCTTAAATCCAAACCACTAAGAAGACGCTCTCTTTATGCAGCGGTGAGCAGCTTATTGGTACATGACTTTCACCTGCCTAACAAAAGGTATTATTTGTGAAATTACTAAGTGCCTACTAACAGCAACTTAGTTAAGTGATTTTTCCCATACCCTATCGGCTTCCTCTTACTAGGAGACAGTCTCAGAAATTTTAATAAATCAACCACAAAGCAAGCAGCAGAACACGCTTCCCAACCCACGCCAATTCAGACAGGTCAAGATATTAATCCTTCTTTGCATGAATACAGAAACATTAAGTCTTATTACCTTTGAGAACAGAAATGTGCTGGCGGCTTTCCCCATCTGCAGAGTAGTTCCTGAATTCAATATCTTCTCCATCTTTCAGTTCAACCTTATCATAACCATACCAGCCAAGGAGCTCATTCATAGTGTTTTCTGCGAAGTTCTGGAAGAGAAAAATTACCTACTTATTTATGTAATCAATAACCATCTGGAATGAAGGGAGGACTGCATAAATCGAACGGTATCTGTGCTACATGAGGAAGTGTCAGGTTTGTCCCACCTCCTCAAAGACTAATGCGCATTTCATAAGTCAACTGCATAAAGTGTAATGCGTTTAAATCTCAGACTGGCACATGTAATTATGACAAAGACTCACACATCCGTAATTTAAAGAAAATGAAAGGGAGAGTTATTTATGATTTCTGCTCTGGCATTCGACGTCAGAAATATTTTACCATGTGTTCGTCACAAAAATTTGTCTGTATTCCCATAAAACATGTAAGACTGCAGCAAGAAAGTAACAGAAAACTACGATTTTTTCAGGTAGCAGTTAATCAATCTTACTGCACTACAGCCCTTTCAGCTGGAGTAGGTCACTGACACAATTACAGTTCCTTGAGGTGCACGTGCACCAAATGAAATAAAATCACAGTGAAGACATTTTTCTTCAGTTACAAACCTCTGCTCAGCCAAAGCACTTAAAAACTCTTTTACTGTATTTTACTGTAAAAACTCCCTGATTTTTTTTAAGAAAGCCTTTTCTCTGCTTTGACATGTTTATTTTTAAAACAATTTCCAAGCAGCAGTGTGATTATATTTTACGTTTGTATGGAAATGCAAAATATGAAACATGGTTGTCATAATTCTCAGTCCCTACTACAGTTCTCAGTCTCTACGTCATGCAGGTCATGTGTCAACAACATTTCTGTAGGAAAGGCTCATTACTGGGCCAGGAGATTTAGTGGAATAAGTCAAGAGCCCTGCAGCCAGGCAACGAAGCTTTGTGAGACAGGACAGTGCCACAGAGCCATGGCTTATATGTTTAGGAAACTTCTGGAGGAGAACAGCTAATGAATCGTTGTCACTGCAGAGGTCAGCTTAAAGTAAGATGACAAACACAAAATGAAAAGAAACAGCCGCAAACAAAGCCTTTCAGTTTGGACTCTTCATTTTTACTTTTATTTTATCACTTCTATAAGGCATTCCAACTTGATTTCACCATAAGATCTTGACATCTAAAATAACGATCCTGATAAGCAATCTTCCTGTGACCGGCTACCAGTAAAGAAAGAAAGCAGAACACGACACCCATTCAAAATAAATGGCATATGGGTTGCAAGATTTCCTCTAGCAACTGCAGTATCTCAGTTTTTGAGTGGGAGCGAGGCTAATGATGGAACACAGCAATTCTCGAGTCATTTAAATAAATAAATAAAATTAATCAGAGCCTAATTGCTTCCGAATCCCAAGCTGCAGCAGGCACCCTGCCCCAGAACAGCCGAGCCGTACTGCTGCTGGCTCATCCATTACAGCAGATCATAGAGGTGTTCCTGCCATTCGGGGAGAGCTGGAGAGAGACCGTACACAACACGCTCAGGTCATTTGTACCCTTACAGGAGTATCCCTTGTGGCGCTTGTGCTACAAACACACACTCCAGAAAAAGGAAAACTAAGTCAAAAGCTCACAACAGATCTGTGGAGCATCAGTTTCCCTGCTTTTTCCCCTTTCACTTGACCTCCTGCTGGAAGTCTCGAGTCTCTGGCTCTCCCGTGCAGCCCCAAACGGCCAGAAAATGTGTCATTGCTCCATGTCTATGCCTAGGTCCAGCATTATGCCTATGACAGTCCATTATGCCTCAACTAAGTCAATCTACAGTTCGCAACAAAGAACACTCCACAGCGTAATGTGGTTAATACCTACCTGTATTTCTAAAACATATATTTAAATTCTCACATGATCAATGCCATTTTGTGAGCATTTTAAACAATAACAAAAGTGTTTGTGAATTTTTTTCCGAAGTTTTGGGGATTTTTGACTTTTTAGAAAACTCTTGTTGTTGAAAATGCAAATACAACTCCCCCTTCTCCAGCCCATGAGACTCCAACACGGAAACGTCCTGGAGATGTAATGGGAACATTCTGACAGAATCCACAGAGAGCCAAAAGAAAGCTCCAGCACCTTCCCTTGCTTTGCCATATTTCAGTTACTTAGACACAGCCCCAGAGATGAATGCAGCAAGGTGGAGGCCAAGCGACAAAAGGCTGCCTGACTGAAATGCCACACAATCCAATTAACCGAGTAGCTCTGAATTTACCTCCTGTGGATGCTTTGTGTTTTATTTGCACTGTTGATCAACTCAGGAGATGAGTAATTTTTAATTACTTGTCAAGGAATATGTAAGCAAGGCAATGTGTATTTATACTCTTCTGCAACAGAGTACTCTCCCTTCTCAGAATCTAGTCAAAATGATTGTTGGGTCTGCAATGGCACAAAGCTTGAGCACCTTTCAAGTCTCATTTTACTGCTCATGATGAGCCATGCACAAAAATGAACAGTCACAACAACAAAAAGATGTACTTGATTTTTAAATGAGTCATAACAGAGACTTGACTCCTTAAGAAAATAAATAAATGAGTTCCCAGGGTCTTTGCAATTAACTTCAGCCAGAATAGTAGGTCACATATCAGTGGCAACAAAGGTATCTTTTTAACACAACGATTCCTCAACAAGGATGTTTGAATTAAAAAATAAAAATGAAAAACCGACCGCACTGTTGAGCCATTGTCCTTCATAGTTTGCCTTGCCTATTACAGTGACAGTTATTATCCTTAACGTTGTTCTCTAAGTTGCTAGCAGCCAGGGCTTTGTTACAGAGCACTCTGTACATAGAAAACTAAGAAAAGAAAGCACCTATCCTTGACAAACTGATGATCAGAGCTGAGAAATGGTTTTTCCACACTAACTGCCATGCATAGATGAGCATCCACAGACCTACAAAACCACCTTCCCTCAGACCACTGATTAAAATAGCCATCTGTGGGGTATGTAATATCTTGTCTGTCCAGATAACAGTCATGCACGTGCTCACTGAAGCTATCCTCCTGAAGCTGACCACTATCATGTCACCATTGCCACGCACTCTTTCTTTCCATTTCAACAGTAGGCTCAGACCAAGTGCATTCAATATACAATAACAGTAAGGAATGTGCGAAGACTAGTGTGGTGGCAATAATCAAAATACAAATAATGAAGTGAGAAAATTTTTCTCTGTGTGAATGCAGGAGGAAAAAAAGCTTCATTTGTTGATGAAATAGAAAAAAGAAAGCAAGACAATTAATACACAACTTGTACCTGCAGAACAGAAGCTTAATGAAAGATGAAGCTTTAAAGGCTTAGTGAAAGGAAGGGTGATGATTGTAAACATGGTGCTTCCTCGAGAAAAGCAAGAATGAGGGACCTGACATTGGAGTAGGAGAGGGAAAGAAGTGATGGAACACACTAGAGGGGAACTGGCTGAACTGAGAGATGATGGACCTGTCAAAATCCAAGTGGAATGCAAAGCGAGGACAAGTGTGGATGGTAGGATGGAGATGGAGCACACGCATAGAGTTGCAGTTCCAAGCTTCTGTGCACCACGACAGCAAAGGCACAAACCTAGCCTGTGCTTGCTTTCAGACACAGTCACCAAAAGGATACACAGGGTTTGCAAGATGGAGGCTGCCAGCTGAACTCTGCAGCCCTGCCACAGGGCTGAGGCACCACGAAGCACCAGCACGCTGGCAAAAAGCTTGACCGTCATCTCCAAATCCCTTTACCTTTACAGCAACCCCACTGCTCAGCTGAAACCTGGAATCCAGACTCAAGGCTTCCCAGTGAAATGGCAGCACCAAACCTCACCGCACCTTGCCAGAAGGTCCCCTTTCTCACTGATCTCTCTTTCTGCTCCCTGTTAGGCCCCAAACCACTCCTCACTCCTGCATGGCAACATGTGAGTATGATTGCTCTATTCTTGTACTAGGCATAAATGCCCTTTCCTCCAGAAGCTCCAGGCTAGCTGCTATCCTTGTTGGCATTTTGACTTCAATTTGCTTCCTAATCATAGGAAAAACAAAGAAAAGTGTAGTAATTTGCCCTGCCTGCAGTTTCTCTCATTCATGGGGCTGACTTATATGTGAGGCAGTAAAAATATAATCACATTCATTTCCGCTTCAGCATTCATTTCATCGTAACAGTACACCTATGGCTTGACTTTTTGCGTTGCAATGCATCGTTTTCCCAAATTTTCACTAATTAGAACCCTCTGAAGCTAACCTGTGCTTCTCTTCTCACCTCATAGCTCCGGCTCTCCTCCTCCACAAGCCCTACCCACAGGGGGCACGGCCTGGCCCCGCACAGCCAGCCTGGCAAGAGCGGAGGCAGGAAGCGCACAGGAGAACGAGTCTGTCAGACTCATTTTCTTCTAGGTTTTACTGCTGAATGTTTATTTCAGATCTTGGAGGAAGCACGGTGGCTCCCTTCCATTTCCCCGCACGCACGGCCCGCCAGGTGTAGAGCCCCACAAATTCACTTTTCACTTTTGCCGCACGGAGGAAATAATAACGTGTCTGTATTCACGATATAAACCTGGTGTCATTTTTTCTTGCTAGCCCTCGCTTTCCTCATTTATTTACATTGTCGCCATGTTAAACATCACGGTCAGAGCTTCACACAAGGCAGTTCTCGGGGCGCTTCAGTTCCTGTGTCCCACCATACGTAGGGCTGGCTTTGAGATGTGGGCCTCAGCGTCACACTGAGCCTTCCCCACAACACACAGACAGAGGGCACATCAGGAACGCATCTTCCCTCAGCCGTCACCCCACTTCCATGCAGGCTCTGTGGAAAAACCTCTCCTCGCAATCCCAAAACAGCACAACGGATAGAGTCTGTCTGCTTTTCCACTTCCACACTTTTTGCTTTTCAGGGGAGAAGGGAGGAGTTTCCTTGAAATCTCTTTAACGTTTCAGGTCTCTGGCTCACTGCAAGCACAGCACAGCTCTGCCTCTTCCACCGCTTTCCTGGTTCTGACAGTAGTACTTTTAAATGCCAAATGGGGAATATTAAAACACTAAACTGAAATATCTTCTGATGAGTTTACTATTAAGCTATAACAGATGGGGCTGCCTTAAGCTCTAGGCATCAGGAACGGAGCCCAATTTTAGATCCAAATTCGTTATTGAGAATATTTATAGATGGTAAACTCCTTGGGCTCACGGAGCAGCTCTGTGAAATTACAGCACAAATTAGCTGCTAGCTTTACAACTGACAGAGACTCCGAACATGTGGAGACACTGACTTGTTTGTTCAGGAGAACTTCCAGTACGACTTACTTGCTGCAACTCCTCATATCAATTCCAGCACATCTCACAGGATTTGGGGGTACCTGAATGCTGCTCTTGAGCGGCATTACTGCCTGACAGCAGGGGGAAAAAGAGGAATAAACTGGGAGGAGATGAATGTGAAGCTGCTACCACTGAGCCTCCACAAATAATGCTTCCATCGATTAAGCTATACACACACACACACACACACAAAAAAAAAAAAAAAAAACACAATTTTAGATTTGAAATAGTGCCAGGTTCCCTGATTCTGCTGGCTTTAGAACCATTGGGTGTCCTGCTATTCACCAGCACATGAGGAATGACACCACTAAATTTCAGAGCAGCTGTCTGCCCTTCTTCCAGAGCACGAGATGAACAATGCTACCTCGGGCTGAGAGATGGAGATTATAATGCTAAGAAGGAAGAGGGACAAAATAAGGAACACCAGCAGAAAGGAAGGCTGTGACTGAAGGTCACAAAGAAACAAAACCAGTTCCCCTGAAGATATTTTGCACTGAAACATAATATCAGAAAACTGTGCAGAGTCATGTACTCTTAGCACACAACACTGTATCAAATTAAAATTTGTTATAACCATGGTGTACAGGGGGTTAGTGATAACAAAAACGTAACTCAATCTCAGGCACAAGGCAGCAGTGAATAGCCAGCCGCACTCAGACTGAGCAGTGGCACAGTGCTGGAGCACACCAGGCGAGTGCTGGGTTTTGTCATTTGGCTGGAGTAAATATCTGACCATATCAAACAACAAATCTTGAAGGAGTTTTATGGCTCATTCATAGTGCCTTGCATTTGCAGTACTTAAAATAGACACTTGTACCAATGGCCTTTTTATTACCCAAAGGGAAAAAAAAAAAAAAAAAAAAAAGACACATCCACACCAGCCCTTTTTCTTTCTGCTAGCAAAGGGAGGCAATCTGATCCAACGTGGGCTGAAACCTGAGTAGGTCACTGTACACCATGATAAAATTCCCTAATCCCTGAGCCAAATTTCCCTGAGGGGGCCCTCCTACTTCTCCTTCACTTTTCAGGCTGACTTTTCCATTCCCTCTCTCGTCTTTTCCTCCCCTTCATCTCTTTCATTTCCCCTACCTTCAAGCCTTGATATCTGATCTGCTGCTGATACTCAGGTTACAGTTTTTACAGCTTAGGCTGTCTATTGCTGTATACATTCCTTTCTTTCTGCTCTGCCGTGATTACTTACCAGAGCTTATTTTACACTGGTCCAGATGAAAGCAGTTCAGATGAAGGGAAACAGCCAGGCCGTTTGAACATTACAGATACGGCCGTACACAAGGGCACATTGTGTTCCCTCTGTCATTTCGCCGCACACATTTTGCACAATGCAACCAATTTGTTACATTATTGTACTCCTCGGGTTTATGGAGAACAACTCGACGTCTTGACTCCTCAGTGCACAGAACGCACAAACGATCTTCACGGGATTTCAACTTCCTCAACGAGTCCAAAATTCAAGCTAATATTTTTTCCCCCCTTCTCTCTCTCCCCTTTGGATCATAGCAGCCAACTGTCCTGCTGAAGACGTGGTTGCCCAGCTCAGCACAATGGCATGGCAGCACAGCCCGCTCTGTAAGGTGGCCTGCGGTGTTTGAGAGGTTCTGCCACCAGCCAGCTCCCTCCCCACTACAAATCCTATCTGTTCAAAGCACCGTTTCTATCTGCCTTTAATTACCGAGCCAGCTGAAATCCCGAGATCTGCAGCCCTAAGCAGCTATCAATGATTAAAAAAGAGAAACTCTCTACATGAAAGCTAATGCCAGTGCTTAATACCAAAGCATTAGCTTAAAATTGTGTAATTTTTCTCCTTCACACAATGTTGTTTTTGTTTCTTCCTCACCCTTTCAGACAAACATCTGTTATACTGCAGAAGAACAACTATCTCCCAAACCACCGAGTGCGCCTGCAGCCAAAGTAAACAAAACAAACCCAGAGGATCCAGCACAGTCAGCCTTTATATCCAGCCAGGATAACATTTCACATGTTTTGATTAAAATTAGCTAATTTGTAATTCTAGAACCTATGAAACTTAAAAGCTGCAATCCGTATAGATGGCATTAAGCAACATTCTGAGGGCCAGTGCCCTGCACCACGCATCCCCACAGCCCTCAGGACTGCGCAAGGAGCACAATGAGCGAGGACTCTCACAGAGCGCTCTCCGAAAATAGGACGTGCCATACATCTCGCAAAGAGGAACAACGCTCCTCGGGAGCTGAAACTGGTTTGTTCCCAAAGAGGTGACGCGTTATTTTGTTTGTGGCACGGATGCTGCTGCTCCCGTCCCTGTTTGCAGCTGATGTGCCTGCAGCTCTGTGAGCCTGCCCCTCTGAAATCAGTGCTGGGCAGAGGGGAGAGGATCATGCACCCTGCTTCATTTTGCATGGGGAGATCAGCCTTCCAGAAAGCAGAGGTATTTTCATTAGACACCATGCATATTTATACACTTGCCTATATAGTACATATACTATGCAAACATGTGATATTTTCCAGGCAGCCCCACACCTACAATCAGTCTTTTAATAAATGACATATTCAAAGGAAATAACAGAGGTTTTATCCCACAAGCAGGGCACGCCGCTTTCATCACTTCATACGTGCCTTAAAAAACAAGTTTGGCTGGAGTCTCCTACTATGCTGCTCCCAACTTTAGGGAATCAGAGATATAAAACAAACAGAGGTGGCACAAGCATGGAAAACAGGCGCAAAAACCTAGGACCGGTCAAGCCCGGAGCAGTGACCTACGGACCTACGAAAGAAATGCCAATTTGTGTGCAATCGCAGCCACCCCAACATCTGGAGCAGTCGCCTTCCGAGCACAGCTGGACGGGGCCGCCCGTAAGGGCTCCCATAAGCGGCTCCGGGCGGGCACCTTTCGGCGCACCTCGGCCGAGAGCAGAGCGGGAAGGAAGGAGCCCGGGGCTCAGCTCACGGAGGATGCGCGGCTCGGAGCGCCGCATTTCACTTTGACAATTTAATTACACAGTTGCAGCAGGCTACTGGAATGGAGAGAAATAGGGGGATGAAAAGAGGGTCCTTTCTTTTCTAACTTTAGGGCTTCCCCCGCAACCAGAGGGGTTGGCTATTGAAAAAAAAAAGGGGGGGAGGGGGCTGGAGTGGGGGAGGAAACGCTCCTCTCTGCCACCCCGGGAGCTGAAGAGCCCAACAGGGGAGAGTTTTTTTAAGAAATAAATAAATCAGAGCTGGTCAATGAACAGGATTTGCAGCCTGTGAATTCGTCTCTGTTTTCAGCCCAGGAGGCGGAGTTGAGACACATTCAGTGCATCCTACAAAAAAAAAAAAAATGACAGAAGATCCTTTCTTATTCCATTTCCATGCACGACGGCGGCGGGGGGGCGGGGGGGACCCCGCTCCCTTCCCATCACAGCACCTACCTTCATCTCCTCGTTGATCTCCCGCTTCACCGGGTGCGCCGGCTTCCTGCTCCTTTTATTTTCGGGAGGTCTCCCTTCTTTCTCCATTTCTGCCATTTTTTGCGCCTACTTGGAGCCGGAGATGAAATGGCTGCTGGTGCTCTGGGGGGGCCGGGAGGGGCGCGGGGGGGTTGGGGGGGGGGGATCGGGGAGCGGCGGCGGCTCTCAGCGCTGCCAGGCGGCGCCGCGGAGGGCCCGGGGGGAGCGCGGCGGCAGCGGCGGCGGCGGCGGGCGGGCGGGGGGCGCGGGCGGGCAGGGGCGCGGGTCCCCCGGCGAGTCAGCCATCTTCTGCCTCGCCGCCGGCCCGCATGGGAGCGGCGCGGCGGGGCGGGCGGCGGCGGCGGCGCGGGCGTGCGGAGGCAGCGCGGAGAGAGCCGGCCCCGCGCCTGCTGTGGCGCTGCTGGCGGGCTGCCGCGGAGGGGGCGGCGGCGGGGACGGGAGGCCGGCCTCGGCCCGGCGGCGGGCGGGGCTTGCCGCCACCGAATCGGCCGCCGCTGCCCGCCATGCAGCCGGGGGGGCGACGCGCCCAGCGTGGGGCGGAGCGCAGGCGGACCCCCGCCCCTGCTCGGAGGTGGGATGGGGGAGCCGCGAACCAGCGGGCGCGCGTGGATCCCCCCCTCGAGGGAGGCGCTCCCTGCCCTGCCGGGGTGCCCGCGGTCGGCGTTGCGGTCGTACGGCGGGTCGCGCTGAGGCGTGAAACGGTGCGTTTTCGAGGAAGAGCGGCTGGAAGATGGGTAGAGTGGGTTCCACGTGGGGGTGAAATCCCGGCTGAGTCTAACAGAAATAAGTTGGTGTTGCGTGCAAGAACGTCTCGTTTACACTTTGCAAAATAGCTGGTGGTTTTCTGAGCGCAGCACTCAGCAAAACTCTTTTGATCGCTTCAGGGCTGAAGCGAGCGAGCCTCGCTTGCCGGGACACAGAGGGGAGGGATACGGAGCACAGCCCCCCCGTGGCACCGGGAATGGGAAGAAAGGGGGATTTTGTGTGGCCTGAGCTGCGAGAGCAGAGAGCATCACGGGCGAGGAAGCAGCAGCCCTCAGCCCACTGAGGAATCCCAGCGGGCTCCAGAGCAGTGGGGTCACGGCCGCGGCCAGGCAAGGCGCTGCCTCTCCCCTGGCAGCCCGAGAGAATCCGAAGCTGGATCAACCAAGTCCCTTCATGTGCAAGATTAGTCTTTTCTTCTTGTTTATTTTTAAAACGCAACGAGTTCTGAACCTTTTGGAACCTAACTCGCAGCTTCACAGGGAAGCACCAAAAGTACGGTGCTTCCTCCTGCTGCACCGCACCACCAGCAGCAACCACATCTATCTTTTCTATTCACAGGCTGTTACAAATGAGTCGGTGCGGCCGACCTCTCATCATATGCAGGAGGTGCTCCAGGATCTCAGCATCTCCCCCACGGCAGGGACAGGATAGGCAGCGTAAGGGGAAGTTGCTTATAAGCACCGTCATGTAGCAGAACTGCAGGTTTGAAACCTCTGAGAGTCAACCTCAGAGAACCTTCCTGCTTTGAATCACCAGCACCTTGCTGATTCATGAAATCACTCTCAGGAAGAAGACAAAACGAATTTTTGCATTAGGGACACATCACTGGTTTCTCTGTAGAGATGGTAACACACATGTAATGAAAATCTTGGACCTTTTGATACACAGAATAACCATGTTGCCCTAATGGCTTATTTTTTAGTGGAACATTTGAAAACACATAATAGACTATTTGTTTGCAATGCTTGCTATTAGATATTGTTATAAAGTGCCATTTCGCTGCATCAGTTTAGCAGTCTGACTTGATACTTTAACAGAAAGATTATTCCTAAACTCCCAGCATGAACAGAATCTCCTTTAAAATCAGAAGGGACTTTGTAACTGCCAGCCCAAATGCTGTGAATGGGTTTCAGCAGGTTACAGCCAGCATTTTTAGGATCAAATCTGACATTCCTTTTCCTGACTAACAATTGGCAGTTGACAACTGAACACCACTCACAGCCCTTGCTCCCAGTTCTGAATTCTGATCCTCACTTCTTGATCACCCAAACCAAGGACTTTCAGACTTCTTTTCACTGCAAAGGCTTTTGAATGCAGATGTTGGTTTGTGCCTCCTGACAATAGGCTCAGTTTTCTCAGCTACTTTTAGTAAGCTCCTAAAAACAGCCCACAGTCCCTCAGCACCTCATCAGTTGGCTAAAAGCCACGGTCTCAGTGAATCCTCTTCTTCTTGGTATCTACTACAGACTTTGGATGGCTACAAAAGTTCTCCCTCTCTGAGTCCAGATCTCTCCATCTGATAACACACGATTTCTGCAGCTGTCACATCTCCTCATTCTCTAGAGCTGTTATTACCTTTTCATATTACATATTATTATACTACATATTCTTGGGAAGTTGTTCTTCCAGTGACAACAAATGGAGGACCATCAAGTGTCAAGACAGAAGTTCACATGCTCAGAATGCTTCAAGTGACACTATCTGACACTTGTTGGTACTGAAATAAGATTTGGAAGCTAATTGTTTTGTGTGTTAACGGGGAGGCAAAGACTAAAAAAAGGAGGGTTTTTTGTTTTAGTGTGGTGAATCATGAGCTCGTAAGGGAGAGCGGAATATCAGAATCTGAAGAAGCCATAAATATTTCAGTCATAGAGTGGCATTGATCTGAACATCTCCAAAAAGTTAAGAAAAATAAATCTGGTGTTTACATTACAAAGACCCTAACGTTAAATACATCTCCTGTACCGTGACAGCACACATTTCTTGTGTGAAAGTCTATATTTTTGATAAAGAAACCTGGTTCAGCAGCGCTCAATGTGGATTCTGGATAACATCTTAAAGAGGTCAATAAGGGTGGCTGATTGAATCGGTAGCACAGCTTTTGTTTGTTCTACAAGGCAGAGGTACAGAGCAATGCGGTATCAGTAGGCAGATATTAGCAAAGATAAAATCCTGACCCTGTGGAAATCGGTGAAGGCTTTTTCCCTGGTGAAATATTCAAGGGGATTTTTTGTTGATTTAGTTTATTTAGTGTGGATTGGAAAGACAGAATTCCATTTTCTTGGGAAAAAAAAGTAAGGTTTTCCAAATACATTTCCATTTTCTGAAGCAAAATGAAGATTTTTCAAAGCGAGGAGGAGAAAAAGATAATACTCCTTGTTGTAACTCATCTTTAAGGAGGCTGGGAACTTCAGGCTTCCCACAATGAGCGTCAGTTGCAGTGCCATCCATAGTCTCTCACTGCTTCATCTGCTGAAGAGTTTTTTGTGTAGATCATTACTTTCAAAGCTGGGGGGGGGAAAAAAAAAGTGATGTGATCTGACTTTTGGCGGACACTGAGACACCTGTGAGGCTGAAATCCAGGTCCCCGCTGTGTCTGAGCCCCAGAAAAGCCCGAGCTTTTTCTTCCACTGCCCAAATCAGCGCTCCATGACACAGCGGTTTGCCAAGCTGGATGGTTTCATCCTATTGAGGCTTTGCATTCCCAGCTCTAAATTTGCACTTGAATTTTTTCAAGCGCACTAATGTGGACTTTTGGAAAACCAATATCGAGTGACAGGTGTGAACGAGTTGCCTTAAATAAATTGCTCCAGCTTTAATTTATGTTCTATTATTCATATTCCGATTTATTAGTATTTATATGTTTTTAAAGGGCGCTCTTTCAAAAGGGCTTTTTACAGAACAAGAAAGCTACGCTTAGCAGTAACAAAGTTCTTCCGTCTGGTCTTTATTAACGCGTAACTCTCTGATATTATCAGCCACGCGTTTCTCCTCACTGTTGCCTACTGGCACGGACGAGACGAGTGAGAAGGCCCAGTTTTCCAGTCAGCGCATAAGCGAGCAGCCCTCCAAGCTCTGGCACGGGCTGCGGGGCTCGGGGGCGCGCAGGCTGCCAGGTGCCGCCCGCGGGAACTGAGCGGAGCTCCCCCTCCTGGCGCCAGACGCGGCCTGCCGTCACACCTGCGACCTGCCGCCCCGACGGGGCTGAACGGCGGCGGGCAGCGTGAGGAGGGACGCGGCCCCCGGCCCCTCCATGGAGAACTCGGCGGATGGCTCCCAGCTCTCGGTGATGCCGGTCCTTATGGAAGACGTGTGTCTTGCGCGACCTGTCGTTAACTCACCTGCTCTTGTTTCAGCCGTATCTGAGGTGAGCCCGTGATGAGCAGAAATTTAAATTCGGGGATTTGGTTTGCTGAAGTGTTTCGTTAAGCAAAGAAATTCATTATGAGTGCTCGTACAAAATTGCTGTTGAGTTTTTTCATTTGGCTCAAAGCCATTCCTCTGACTATCTGTATGACACAACAAGGTGATTATTTATGCCAACAGAAGCAAATAAATGCTCTAATTAATTAAAATATCTGCTCCCAATTCCTCCCTCCCTCCCTCCCTCCCTCCCTCCCTTCCTCCCTCCCTCCCTCCCTCCCTCCCTCCCTCCCTCCCTCCCTCCCTCCCTCCCTCCCTCCCTCCCTCCCTCCCTCCCTCCCTCCCTTCCTTCCTTCCTTCCTTCCTTCCTTCCTTCCTTCCTTCCTTCCTTCCTTCCTTCCTTCCTTCCTTCCTTCCTTCCTTCCTTCCTTCCTTCCTTCCTTCCTTCCTTCCTTCCTTCCTTCCTTCCTTCCTTCCTTCCTTCCTTCCTTCCTTCCTTCCTTCCTTCCTTCCTTCCTTCCTTCCTTCCTTCCTTCCTTCCTCCCTTCTTTTTTTCCAGTCCAACCAGCCATTTCATGCATACAGAAACACGCCTGTGAACTTCTCCCTGCAGTCAGCTCCTTCAGCTCCCCACTTCCATGCCAGTGATGTTATTTCACCCACACCTTGCAGAAGGGGCACATTCCACTCATTCCTGAACTGGGACGAGCGCCCGCAGCATTACTCACCCACAGCAGTGTCTGTAGATCCCTGTCTGCTGTGGATACTAATCTCAATCCAGAGCTTCCTCAGACGATTAGAAGCTGTTCTGCAAAATGTCAATACACAGCTTCACTGAAGCCAACACGGTATGGTGGTTGAAATGGGAGTCGTGGCAGCTTTCCAAATATGAAGGTCTGGAAATGTTTGAGCGATTTTAATATTGATGAATATTTCAGAATTTTTTTCTGTTGCTTCAGTGTATAGTGTCAAATCTGTGCAGATTAATGGCAAG